GGGGGGGGGGGGACGGCTGTTGAGAGTTGTTGACTCAATAACATTGGGCTATAAATAATAAGATGAACTCACAGAGAGTCTAGCAGAAAAACAAACCGTTGGAAGTTCCCCATCCCGTGTGTTTCTCTGTCCCAAATAACCCTGCATATTCCTCAAAAACAGTCTCTGTTCTCCCTCACTTGTCCTCTATGTTAGCGTGCACAGGATACAGACTCACTCAAGAATGGACACGGACCGTGAAGGAGCTGGGGAGGGCAGACAACAAAATCCAGAATAAAAACAAAGAACCAGGACAACTTGGCTGCTTGCTCACTAGGGGTGTCCCTACCAGCTGTAAATGAAAGTTACAATTTCTCTGCCTTCTCACCAATACCCAGTAACTTTCCATTTTCACCAATCTGAAGTGTATTGACTGTTACTGTGTTTTTAACATGCATTCCTGGTTGCCAGTAGGATTGAACATCTTTCAAGAGGTCTACTGGCCACCTGGATTTTCTCTTTCTTGAGTGATTCACTTATAACCTTGCCCACTTTTGCTGGCTTGTTCACCTTTTTCTTATTGGTCAGTCTGAGTTCTGTATATACTCGAGGTTATCTACTTCTTCTTGCCTCTTGGTAACATGGCATATCCTCGCCCGTTTTGAATTCAGTTCTGCCGTGACCATCTGTTCAGTTTTAAGTAGTGATATGTTAGTGAAATGGTTGTGTCCAGGTGTTAGTTTCAAGAGACAGTATCTGATGAGCTATGTTCCCTTTTCTCTGCCTTGACTGTCCTTGAAGCTCAGACGTGGCACAGTTCTCAGTCTGGGCCTCTCAGGAGGAGGATGGAGAGAACAGAGGCCTGTCTGGGCCCTAGCCCCACCCCAGCCAACAGCCAAGAGCATGAAGGACCAAGAAGCAAACCTTTGTTATTTTTAGCCACTGAGACTTGGAGTTGTCTGTTATCACAGTAGACATAAATATTCAGGATAAGCTGTATCTATTTTATATATATAATAGAAATATATATGTGTGTATGTATATATCTGTATATGCCTATATATTTGTATATAATTACATGTCTATATATTTTATGCATATTACATATATGACAGTAGTGCACATTTATCAATGTGTCCAGGCATTAATGTTTGCCTATTATTTTTTTCCCTTGGGAGAACTATCCTTTATTGTAAGATTTTTGTCTTCATGACTTGATTGGGCATAAAATGTACTTAGCAATTATAAAAGGATAAAGACAGAAGTTTGTGACTTTTAAATTGCTTTCTTAGACAGTAAAAGAAAAATCCGGCAACTATGCAATGCCACCTATCCCCAAACCATTTTCCACAAGGTGAACCCAGCGTCCTGGGGACACCACAGCTCTATGCTGTGACATCAGCGCCTGAGAATGCCACCCACGTCACTTCTGAACCACGGCCACGCCAGGCCCCCGTGGTTTGAGTTGTTCCCAGTGCGGTGCCTTGCTTTTCCAGGCCTCCAAGCTTTCACACACACAGTGGCCTCCGCCCAGAGTGTCCTTCCTCCCGTGGCCTCATTCACCTGCACGTGTCTGAGCCTCGGGTGAGTCATGGTTCAGAATGGGTCCCTTCACTCCATTTTCTGACACTCTCATGGGGCTGCCCTGCAGTGGTCCTCACTGCACAATCAGCTCCGAGTGGAGAGGGATCACATCTTTTTAACTTTGTTCCCCACCACTCGGCAAGGGTTTGCTGCGTGAACGTACTGGTCTTTACCTGGAACAAATTCCGCTTGCTCTAAACTGGAGGCTGACATGTGGTGACGTGGGCTTTGAGCTTTTTATCTTTCCTCTACAGTCAAAAGAAGAAATGACTGGAGGTCCCAGGAAACCTCAGAAAAGACAGATGCCTTTCAGTGTGGTGAGAATCACTCTGGGCTGCCCGGATCTGAGGATGAGTAACACAGATCAGAAAGCAACCGCCACACTCAAAAGAAAATGAAAGTGGGCCCAAGCGCTCCACCCTGAAGAATTCACCTCAGGGATGTCCAAAGTATGTCAAGAGAGCTATATGCAAATCTGTAACTGGTGGGGTACAGTGGCTCATGCCTATAATCCCAGCATTTTGGGAGGTGGAGGCGAGAGGATTGCCTGAGCCTAGGGATTCGAGATCTCATCTCTACAATTGAAAAAAAAATTAGTCAGGTGTGGTGGTGCGCGCCTGTGGTTCCAGCCACTTGAAAGGTTGAGGCTGAAGGATCACCTAAGCCCAGCAGATCAAGGTTGCAGTAGCCGTGAGGGTGCCACTACACTCCAGCCTGGGGGACAGAGTGAGACTCTGACAAAAAAAAAAATCTGTCACTGACGGCCAGGTATGGTGGCTCACACCTATTTGCTGGAGACACTCAAGCAGCCTAAAGGAGAGATGTGGGGAAGGGATGAGGCCCCCAGCCACGCCTGTTAACAATCAGTGACCCTCAGTAACAATGACACATTTTTCTGACCATTATTCACTTCATCTTTTTGAAATTAAGCTAGGAATTCTTACAATGGACGAACAAAGCTCCACAGAGAACTTCAAGGAAACAGAATGTCTGGAAGAGCAAAATCTAGAAAACCAGATGAGAAAGACACCATCCTACTCGATGAGAGACCGTCTGCCAGCACCCACTTGCCCCTAAAGAGGAAGCTACTTTGGAAGGGGACCTGCCAGCCTCAGTCCAGCCTTCAGACAGAGCCACAGTCAACATGCCACTGTGACTCACAGGTAACCTCAGTCACAACCGCCAGCCAAGCTGCCCCCAAATCCCTGAGTCACAGACACTGTGAGCGAAAATAAGTGATAACTGCTCTTTAAGCCACTATGTTGGGGGTGACGTCATGAAGCATTAGGTAACACGAGCATCATCAAGTCATAAGGATAGACTAATGGCAAAATCCACTCGCTGTCTTCTAAAGCCTGTACATATTAACAATTTCACATTTATGTCTTGAGAATTGAGTCATCATATTAAGGTTGGATAAAAGTTTATACAGGAAAATATATGATTAAATAAATGTATTTGATTTATTTTATTATTTCACCTGGCTAATTTTTTTTTTTTTTTTATGGAGACAAGCTCTTGCTATGTTGCCTAGACTGGTCTTGAACTCTTGGGTTCAAGCAGTCCTCCCTCCTCGGCCTCCCAAAGTGCTGGGATTACAGATATTTGCCACTGTACACAGCAAATATTGTTTTAATAACCACTGAAATCTACCAGATGTTATGCTAAGTACAGGTAGATGTAATTAATGCAGCAAATCAGCCAAAAAAATTTCCCTTCTGGGCTCCAATCAGAATTCACTATATTTCCAGAAGTCATGAGGACAGTGCTACTTTTCTTTTTTTTCCCCAAAAGTTCTCCTTTTGAAATTACAAAAAAGTTTAATAAACCTTTTTAATGGTGTAATCATAGAATGTTATAAAACATTAGCAAAAATAAGGTATATAAAAAATTTTAGTCATGAGGAAAGGCTTAAATTATCAAACAAAATGAAAATAAATATAAAATTATAATCAATCTTATGAAATTACCAACAGTGCATTAAAAAAAACAAGAAATACAAAGATTTCAGTGGAAATTAATTCTGAATGGTGAGGTTATTTATAGGTGACTTTCTGTTCCTCTTGCTCTTTATACTTTTCTGTAGTGAAAGGGAAGTCCCCTTTTTCCCCTCAATGAACACTTATTTTTATTTCCTAATCATAAAATACAAAATGTTTAAGGAAGAAGAAATCCTGATACAGCTTCCTAGTCTTCCGCTTGTTTGCACAAGTGAGTTTGTAGACTGTGAGAAAGCTGTACGGAAAAGAGAAAGCTGTTTCCTATCCTTTTCTGGAAGGAGTTGGGAAGACACCAGTAAATTTGCAAGCAAGCATCAATCAATACATGAAAAATGAATCGGGCCTCTCAGGATCTGTAGGTTATGATGAGCTTTATGAATTTCTTACAAAAACTCTCTGTAAAATTTCAAGAAAGGGATTTAAGACTGTCCACTAATGTCAGACTCCAAGGCTTGAAACCCTCTCTGGATGTTCTGCCTACACTTCCAAGCGCATTTCACTCCCAATGCTCCCCCTACTCCCACCAGCTGCTCTGTGGCAGCTCTCAGGTCTGACAGCATACTCTTCTCATGAGAAAGAAAACTCTACAACTTTTCTCAAGGCAGTTTTCATATGCAGTAGGTCTATAACGCACAAACGCTGGTTTACATCACAAAAGGCGTGGCATCACCTAGTATAGCCCAACCCCGTGGACGCAAAATTCACAGCCTGGCTCATTCTTCCCCCAGACAACCTATTTATTGTTTTCCATAGGGCTCAGGTTGAAATTCAGTCACTCAAAGTGGGGTCCCTAAACCAGAAGCATCAGCATCACCTGGGAGCTCGTGAGAAATGCAGAATTTTGGCCGGGCATGGCGGCTCACACTTGTAATCCCAGCACTTTGGGGGGCTGAGGCAGGAGGTCGTGTGATCCCAGGAGTTCAGGACCAACCTACGCAACAGAGCAAGACTCTGTCTCTACACACACACAGCTGGGCATGGTGGCATGCACCTGTAATCCCAGCAAGAGGCTGAGGCAGGAGGATCGCTTGAGCCCAGGAGGTTGGGGCTGCAGTGAGCTATGATCGCACCACTATACTCCAGACTGGGTAACAGAGCGACATTCTGTGTGTGTGTGTGTGTGTGTGTGTGTGTGTGTGTGTGTGTGTGTGTGTGAACACACAAATAAATCTTTGCCTAGTCCTGGCCTAGGTGCCTACAGCACCCTCTCAAGCATCACCTCACTTGTCTTGTCTGCCCTGGCTCCTTTGTTCTCCCACTGAGTGCCATCCCCTGTTCCACAGGGGCAAACAGCAGCCCCTTGTCATAGGGCTGGTGGGGGGGGGGGAGTAGTCACAGGGACAAGGTCAGATCTCAAGATATTGTGGCTTGTGCTTTGTCTTACAGATTTAGGAATATATAAATGCAAGCACACACTTAAAATGTGTGTGACGAAACAGACAAACCACAGCAAACACACCCCACAGGCAGGAGGGTTACATCGCTTTCAGGATGCTCTCTTCATCAACCCAAGAGCATCTGTTCACCATCCAACAAGTACCTGGTTAGGTGTTACAAATATAAAGAAGAACATTGAAATGAGATAGTCCTAAACATTGAGCTTCCATATGATCCAGCAATTCCACGCCTGGGAACAAAGCCAGAGGAACATAAATTGCTCTACCAAAAAGACACGGGCACATGCATGTTCACTACAGCACTGTTCACAACAGCAAAAACACGGAACCAACCCAGATGCCCACAGAGAGTGGACTAATAAGGAAAATGGGTACATCTACATGATGGAATACTACACAGCCATAAAGGAAAACAAAATCATGTCCCCTGCAATAGCACGGATGCAGCTGGAGACCATCTTTCTAAGTGAACCAACGCAGAAACAAAAAACTGAACATCGCATGTTCTCAATCATAAGCAGGCCCGAAACATTGGGCACACAGGTACAAAGACAGGAATGAGTTTGGGGAGGAAGGGAGGGGCAGGGGGGCACACAACCACTCACTGGGTGCCATGTTCTCTATCTGCTAGTGGGGGGAGGAAGGGAAGGGGGATGGGGCCACACAATCACCCACTGGGTGCCATGTCCACTACCAGGGGGAAAGCGGACTCACTAGAAGCCCAAACCTCACCTGCAAGCAATTCACTCATGGAGCAAATCCTCACATAAACTTTCTTGTGGACATAGACTTATTTCTCTTGAAAGTGTGTCTGTGAATGGGACTGCGAGGTTGCAAGGTAGGCATGTGTTACGCTTTAATAGGAACGGCCAGTGTTCCAGTGCGGTTCTTTTGTTTCACCCTACCACCTGCTTTCCACAGAGCCTTCCACACTCTTGTCGACATTTGGTATTGTCAACCTTTTTAATTTTAGCCATTCTAAAATAAAAGTAAATACATAAGTGGGAAGAAACGAGAGAGCCTGGCCCCTCAGGAAATTCAGGCTGGGGAAGGAGACAGAGAAGTAAACAACGACAGTGCTGGGCTTGGCCCAGGGGACAGTGGGAGCGTAGGCAACTAGAAACTGGTCCAGCCTGGGAGGGGTTGGCACCGACCAAAGCCAAGCCTTGTTAGCCAACCATCAGCGGAGGTCCAGGGGTGCCAGGGTGGGTGGGAACCATGTTCCAAGTGACAGACACGCATGTGCAAAGAAGGCTTAGAGCAGACAGTGGGGCGTTCCGGGTCATGATGGGATAAGGAGTCTGAACCGCAGCCAAGCCAGCAGAGGACCACGGCAGGGTCTTCACAGGATGTGTCGTGATCAGACTTTCCTGCTAAAAACCTGGCTCTCAAGTGGGAAGAGGGGTGGGAGGGGAGAGCCTTGTCATTTTCTTCTATTTTCAAAATATTCTTTATAAATATAATGGCCCCCCCAACCTTGCTTTTTAAAATCTGATTTGGCAACTCATGTGTGATTTAAGATGTAACTGAAACTGACATCTGTCTGTCTGACTCATAGCTGTTGGGCAGGCAGATTCCACATGACATTCTGGGCTTACGCATGCATGCCTGTTCAGCAAGTGTTCATTAATGTCTTCGAGCTCGGTTATTTTTTCAAAATGTACAAAATTTAAATTAGAACCTTTTCCAAATGTGAAGGGGTTCGATATCATTAGTCATCAGGGAAATGCAAATCAAATCCACAATGAGATACCACCATACACCCACCAGAAAGGCTAAAATTAAAAAGTTGACAATACCAAATGTTGGCAAGAGTGTGGAAGGCTCTGTGGAAAGCAAGTGGTAGGGTAAAACAAAAGAACTGCACTGGAACACTGGCCGTTCCTATTAAAGCGTAACACATGCCTACCTTGCAACCTCGCAGTCCCATTCACAGACACACTTTCAAGAGAAATAAGTCTATGTCCACAAGAAGGTCTAGGGCAGCTTGATTCATAACATCCAAAAATTGCAAACAACTCAAAATACGCATCATCAAATGTCTTGAATAGGCAAACTCTGCGCCTTCAAACTTGGGAGCACCACTCAGCAACAAAAGAATAACAAAATCCTGATACACACTACACCACCAATGGATATCAAACACATTACATAGGACAAAATACACCAGACACCAAAAAGTGCTTGTTGTTTGATTCCATCTAAAGAAACCCAAGGACAGGCAAGACTAATGCTGGATATCGCGATAAAAACAGTGAAGGAAATTATCAGAAAGTGATGTGAGAGAATCGTCATACCTTGATCTGGGGGGCATTGACATGAGCATATTTATTTGCAAAAATTCATCAAGCCCAGCCTGAACTGTATGTAAATTATATCTCAATGAAGTAACGATAGCACATAAAGCAACTTACCAAGGAAGACATACAAACAGGTCATAAGCTCATGAAAAGATGCTCAATTATTAGTCATTAGAAAAATGCAAATCTGGCCAGGCTTGGTGGCTCAGCCTGTAACCCCAGCACTTTGGAAGGCCAAGGTGAGTGAATTGTCTGAGCCTGAGGGTTTGAGAACAGCCCTGGCAACTTGGCGAGACCTAATCTCTACAATAAATCAAAAATTAGTTGGGAGTGGTAGCATGCCTGTAGTTCTGGCTACTTGGAAGGTTGAGGTAGAAGGATCGCCTGAGCCCAGCAGGTTGAGGCTGTGGTGTCTGTGAGCGTGCCACTGCGCTCCAGCCTGGGTGACAGAGTGAGACTCCAACTCAAAAAAAAAAAAAAAGAAAGAAAAATGCAAATCTAAACTATAAGGAGATATCACATCACATCTGTTAGGATGCTATACAAGGGGGATCCCTCCCCAAAAAAGAACAGAATTTACTTACAAATATTATGTATTTATTCTTATATATTTAAACTTCAGACACCTTCAAAGTACTCTCCATTTGATGCAATACACCTACTGAGACATTTTTTCTGCTGCTCAAAACCGTTTTTGAACTCGTCGATTTTGATGCCTTTTAGTACTTTTGTCATTTTTTTTGTTTCATCTCTTCCACATCAGCAAAATATTTCCCTTTGAGGACTTTTTTCATCTGGGGTGGGGGGAGTCTCTCCGGGCAAGACTGGGTGAATACGGAGGGTGAAGCATAAAGGTCATGTCACTTTTGATCAAAAACTACTAAACAGGCCGGGCTCAGGGGCTCTGCCTGTAATCCCAGTGCTTTGGGAGGCCGAGGTGAGTGGATTGCCTGAGCCCGCAGGTTCAAGACCCGCCGCCCAGGCAACTTGATGAGACCTCATCTGTACAATAAATCAAAAATTAGCTGGGCATGGTAACGTGCGCCTGTAGTTCCAGCTACTTGGAAGGCTGAGGCGGGAGGATCGTCGGACCCCAGCAGGTTGAGGTTGCGGTGTCTGTGAGCATGCCACTGCACTCCAGTCTGGGCAACAGAGTGAGACTCCAACTCAGAAAAAAAAAATGCTAAACACTCAGCACAGTATGGGCAGCTTCATTCATAAATCATCCATTACGAAATGGGTAAATGCACTGAAAAAATCTCCACCAAAAAAAAAATTCACGGAAGCCCAACGCAGCCTGTCACAACAATGCTAGCTGTTATACTGATGCCAATGGAATTCTTAGAACACTTACCTAGCAGGCGAAGCCTGTACTGTAAGGGGCTTGTCCTCCAAAAAGATGTAATTCTAGGTTTTGGGGGGCTTTCCATGTAATTTAAAACACACGTGGAGTTGGATGCAGTAATGCACACCTGCATCCCAGTTGCTCAGGAGGCTGAAATGAGAGGATTGCTGAGCCCAGAGGGTCAAGGCTGCAGTGAGCTGTGATTGCACCATTGCACTCCAGCCTGGGTGACAGAGTAAGATAATCTCTCTAAATAAATAAATAAGTAAAGGGATCACAAAGAAGCTAGCAGTGTCAGCAAGGACATGAAGAAATTGAAACCCTTGTGCATTGCTGGTCAGAACTTAATATGATACAGCCACCGTAGAAAACAGTTTGGGAGTTCCTCAAATAGCTAAGCCTAAAACTGCCAAATAATCCAGCAATTCCACTCCTAGGTATACGCCCAAAGGAGTTTAAAGAAGGGGCTCAAACAGATATCTGTACGCCTGTGTGCATGGCAGCCTTGCTCACAATAGTTAAAATGTGGAAGCACCCAAGTGTTTATCAACAGATGAGGGGGTAAACAAAGTGTAATCTATACATACAATAGAATGTGATTCAGCCTTAAAAAGAAGGAAACTCTGACACACGGTAAAATGTAGAAGAACCTTGAAAACATTCTGCTAAGTGATACAAGCCAGACACAAAGGGACAAATATTATATGATTCAATTTATATGAAATAAATTGGTAAAATTCATAAAGTGAGAAAGTAGAGTAGAGGTTTATCGAGGGCTGGAGGGAGGAGAACTTAGTTATTGTTTAATGATTACAGGCTTCCGTTTGGGGTGATGATCAAGTTTTGGAAATACGGAGGGTGCCAAAAAAATGCATGTACATTTTAAAAAAGGAAAAAACCGTATCAAGATTGTAATACTCAACATATACCAATAACAAAAGATAAATACAAGTCACATTGAACCTCTGCAATGTCAAGAGGTGCTCAAAGTGGTTATCATCAGCATCCAGACACTTCTGTTGATGGCGAACAACTGCAGGACTTGCTGCTATGTGAGACCTCCTGGATCTTCCCTTGTGCACATCACACACAGGGCCATGTGTCTCAAATTTGTCACGAATGGGTGCAACTAGTAGACGTGTTGGAGATTCTGTTGCATACTCACTCCTCCATTGTTGTACTTCCACAACATTCTCGAAATTTTTTATTATTTATTTTATTTTTTTATATTTTTTTATTTTAAAATTGTGGGGTACAATTAAGGGTTAGATATACAAATATTCATTGTGCAGGTACCCTTGTTGATGAGGTGTGCCCCCCCACCTTCCCCAGGCAGATATTGACTACCGCTAATCCCACCTACCTGGCCCTCCTTGACCGCTACCCCCCATAGTTTCCCGCCAATGTCAATCCTTTTCTTATAATCCCACTTCAAAATGGTCTTGCACTCCTCGAACGACAACCGTGCTTCCACCATTTTCTTTGTCCTGCCTGTCACATAGTGACACTAGCATTCATATGATGAATGCCATCCTTTGGGTGGAATGTCATACTACACATGGCTATCATCATTCAACTCAACTTTGAAAAAGCAAAGCGTACATAATATCTCTTAAAATGTGTATACATTTTGTTGGCATTTCTGGTAGACAATGGTGATGGTTATACATCACAAATGTAATTAATGCCACTGCATCATACACTGGTTACCAAGGTTAAAATGACCAATTTTGTGTTATACATATTCTCCCACAATTTTAAAAATGAATAACAGAATATGCCCCCAATCACAGAGTTTCATACTTTAATGGGTGTATTGTATGGTATGTGAATTATATCACAATAATACCATTAAAAATGGGGGGGGAAATAAACAACTTAGTAGTACACACAACATGGCTAAATCTCAAAACCATTATGTTATGTGAAAGAAGTCAGACACCAAAATATGCAATGTGAGTCCACCGAAGTTTTTTTTTTTTTTTTTTTGAGTCGGAGCCTCACTCTGTCACCCAGACTGGAGTGCAGTGGCCACTCCTGGGTGGGCTCTGGTGATCCTTCCGCCTCAGCCTACCAAGTAGCTGGAACTACAGGCACGCGCTACCACACCCGGCTAATTTTTTAATTTATTGTAGAGATGAGCTCTCGCCAAGTTGCCGAGGCGGGTCTCGAACCCGCGGGCTCAGGCAATTCACTCACCTCAGCCTCCCAAAGCATGGGATTACAGGCTGAGCCACTGAGCCTGGCTGCCACCGAAGTTCTAATACTGGCTAAACTGACCCATGGTGACAGAAACCTAAATGGGTCATTGTCCCCAGTGGGCAGGGATTGAGTAGAAAGAGACAAAGGCAAGCTTACCAGGGTGATGGAAACACTCTGCATCCTGAGCTGAGGGTGGCTATGCAGGTGCATATATTTGTCAGAACCATCCAGCTGTTCATTTAGGATACATGCACTTTATCCTATGTAAATTACACTTCAACCAAGTACTATTAACATAAAAGATAATTAAAATGCAATAAGGCATTAATAGTGCTGGGAAGGGCAGGACTCAGAGTGGAAAGCAATTGGAAGGCTCCTAGAAGGGCATCACTGGGCAGAGATAATGTCACTGAATGGGTGGTTGCATCCGGGTGCTGAG